TCCTCAATTTAGTCTCTCAACTTTTTAACAAAGTCAAAATTAATCATTCAATACTATTCACATTTTTTGATAGTTACACTATAACCCAGATTTCAGAATACATTTTCGTTTTCGATAAATAACAAATAAGGACATAAAGTGAGATTTATTCTTTTTGGGTCAACAACTTAACATGAGATTTTGAGAGCAGAACTTTTCAATTCAATACAGTCAACAAATTCAAAATGTAAAGCAAAGATGAAATTGCTTGATACATTAGAAGTGAAAGATGTAATTGCTCGGATACATTAGAACAACATCGCTTCTGTCATCATTCCACAGTGTGGTCCTTCCTAAATTAATTTGCTAATCTATTCGGCATGTTTAATCTTTATATAGCTTCGTGGCCTACCTGCCACACGATGGACAATTCAACAAAACAAGTTAGGTTTGTGTTTATCAGCAACTCATCGAAATCACGATTCGATAATGGAGTTTTTTATTACGAATCAAATTTTCATTTGACCTTTTTTATTTTGTACGTCCTATATTGCTAACAATAACATATCACATGGTCATGGAATGATAGAACAATTTTGATGCGAATGCTATTTATTTTGCTTGGGGAAAATTCAATATAGAAAAGGAACCCCATCTCTCTATTTAAACGTCCAGTTTGCAGGTGAGCAGACTCAGGAAATTCACTCGCTTTGAATTTCTATTGAACAGACATAAACGCAAACACCTGTCGTCCTTCTTCTTCTTCTTCTTCTTCTTCTTCTTCTTCTTCTCCTCCTCCTTCGATTTCGATCCCTGTTCCTCGCCTCTCTCGGCTGCTTAAGCATTCGCATTTCACAGCAGCGATGGACATGGGGATATCTCGGGACGCGGCGCGTAATGGCAGCAAGCTCCGGCTGTGCGCAGCCGACCCGCTCAACTGGGGCGCGGCCGCCGAGTCCCTCAAGGGTAGCCACCTCGACGAGGTGAAGCGCATGGTGGAGGAGTCCCGGAGGCCCGTGGTGTGCCTCGGCGGGCGGACGCTGTCCATCGCGCAGGTTGCCGCGATCGCGGGGCGGGACGGGAGGGCGGCGGTCGAGCTGTCCGAGGCGGCCCGGCCGGGGGTCAAGGCCAGCAGCGACTGGGTCGTGGAGAGCATGAGCAATGGGACGGACAGCTACGGTATCACCACCGGCTTCGGCGCCACCTCGCACAGGAGGACCAAGCAAGGTGGTGCTCTGCAGACGGAGCTCATAAGGTAAAAAAAATAAAAATAATATGTGTGCCACCTTAATATTATTTCTTCAAGTAATCTCCAGATATTCGTAAAAAATTTCGAAAACACTTGTTAAGTAATCAAATAACGAGATAATTACCAATTTATTTATTTTATTTATCCATTTAATTTTTATGGTGATGTGAAATATATGTACGTGGAGATAAATTAGCCGTACGTTTGTATGTGGGACGGGGGTAGGCAGAATTCTCCTAGCGACATGCCAGTTTCTAAATCTAGGTGGAGGGCTTATTACATTGAAGTTGACGCACGAAGTGGGGCCCGGCAAGAAATAATTTGTTTAATGCTGTCATGTTACATGGAAATATTTTGTTCAAGAAATAAATGAAAGAAGCGTGCAAACGGGTAATTCGTGTTAATTAATGTTTTTTGTCTATTTTTAAAATGGAAAATGAATGATTTCTAGCAACCAAACAATTTTGAATTGTCCTCTGTTTAATTTGTTAGCATTAATAGCCCAGGAGAATAAAATACTAATGTTTGGGGACTTTATCGAGTTTCTCAAATTTTTTATCATATTATTTTCCACGAATAATTTAAAAGACACCAAAAATTATGAAAATATATAAAACCTAACCCGCCATTTATGAGAGGATTAGTCTACTTTTAGAGACATTTCCTCGAGTTATTTTATTTTATTTTTTAACATTTGAAGACATTGTTATTCACAAGCTCACATGAGACAGGAGACAAAAGTACCAATTAGCGCATTCATTTTTTTTTATTAAATACACAAGCAACAAATTGTTTTTTAAAATAAATAAATGAGATTTTTCATTATTGTTTGGTCTGTTCAAACTCCTTGATAAATGAATGATCCACCAGCAAACAATGGGTTCGTCCGAGGATAGAATTCGAATGTGGGCATCGATAGATCTAAGTTTGGACACGATGGTCTCCGGCCATGAATGTTTTCTGGCCTATTTCCACCTAACTGGGGTTTGTGTATTTGTGACCGCTCATGTTGCATTGTTCGTCTTTATGTTTGATTGTGTTTGGGTAGTTTCGGCTAGCTCACGGCCCTACAAAGTGACCTATCTCTATGATTAATGAGTTAGGTGTTGAGTGTTTAATTCGAGATTTGCGTTTCCTTATTGTGAACGAGTATGTGTGGCTGACGGAATTCCGATTGGACCAGGTTCTTGAATGCCGGGGTATTCGGCAACGGGACCGAGTCGTGCCACACGTTGCCCCACTCGGCGACCCGGGCCGCGATGCTGGTGAGGATCAACACGCTCCTCCAGGGCTACTCAGGCATCCGGTTCGAGATTCTGGAGACCATGTCCAAGTTCCTCAACCACAACATCACCCCGTGCCTGCCTCTCAGGGGCACGGTCACGGCTTCGGGCGACCTGGTCCCGCTGTCCTACATCGTCGGCCTCTTGACGGGCAGGCCCAACTCGAAGGCGGTTGGGCCGAACGGCGAGTCCATGAACGCCGTTGAGGCCTTCCGTCTTGCCGGGATCGACCACGGTTTCTTTGAGCTGCAGCCCAAAGAGGGCCTCGCGATTGTGAATGGCACTGCGGTCGGGTCTGGGCTCGCTTCCATTGTCCTGTTCGAGGCGAACATTCTATCCGTCCTCTCGGAGGTTTTGTCTGCCATTTTCGCCGAGGTCATGCAAGGGAAGCCCGAGTTCACTGACCACTTGACCCACAAGCTCAAGCACCATCCTGGACAAATTGAAGCTGCAGCCATAATGGAGCACATTTTGGATGGGAGCTCCTATGTGAAGGAGGCTCAGAAGCTCCATGAGATTGACCCTCTCCAGAAGCCGAAGCAGGACCGATACGCGCTCCGCACGTCCCCGCAGTGGCTTGGACCCCAGATCGAAGTGATCAGGGCCGCCACCAAAATGATCGAGAGGGAGATCAACTCAGTCAACGATAACCCACTGATCGATGTCTCGAGGAACAAGGCTCTCCATGGGGGGAACTTCCAGGGCACCCCGATTGGTGTTTCCATGGACAACACCCGTCTCGCCATTGCCTCGATCGGCAAGCTCATGTTTGCACAGTTCTCTGAGCTCGTCAACGACTTCTACAACAATGGGCTGCCCTCTAACCTGTCCGGGGGACGGAATCCGAGCCTGGATTATGGCTTCAAAGGAGCTGAGATCGCCATGGCCTCGTACTGCTCAGAGCTGCAGTTCCTTGCCAACCCTGTGACCAACCATGTCCAGAGTGCAGAGCAGCACAACCAGGACGTGAACTCCTTGGGCTTGATCTCCTCCAGGAAGACTGCCGAGGCCGTGGACGTGTTGAAGCTCATGTCCTCCACTTTCCTGGTCGCCCTGTGCCAGGCCATCGACCTGAGGCACCTGGAAGAGATCCTCAAGAGTGTCGTCAAGAACACAGTGAACCAAGTGGCCAAGAAAGTCCTCTACGTCGGGTCCAACGGTGAGCTCCACCCTTCCCGGTTCAGCGAGAAGGACCTGATCATGGTCGTCGACCGGGAATACGTATTCGCCTACATCGACGACCCCTGCAGCGCCACATACCCCCTGATGCAGAAGCTGAGGCAAGTCCTCGTGGACCACGCGCTGGACGACGACGACCGAGAGAAGAATCCCAGCACCTCCATCTTCCAAAAGATCGGGGCTTTCGAGGAAGAGCTCAAGACCCTTTTACCGAAAGAGGTCGAGAACGCGAGGGCTCAGTTCGAGAGCGGGAACTCGGCGATCGCCAACAAGATCAGAGGATGCAGGTCCTACCCCTTGTACAAATTCGTGAGGGAAGAGCTCGGGAGTGGTTTGCTCACGGGAGAGAAGGTGGCCTCACCAGGTGAGGACTTCGATCTGGTGTTCTCTGCAATGTGCGAAGGCAAGCTGATCGATCCTTTGTTGGAGTGCCTGAAGGATTGGGATGGTGCTCCTCTTCCCATCTGTTAGGAATTTTCAAACACTGAGACTGCTTCATATTTATTTGCCCTATTCTTGGTATGTACTTAGAGAGTTTCATGGTCGAGCGTCAATGTTTCGAAAACTGGGTTAACTGTAACGTCTTATGTCTTTGTTCAGTTCTTTCTTTTTCACACCCCACAAGGTATATTTGTACTTGAACTTCAGTATAACAACAATGTTGATATACGTGAAGGAAAGATTATACAGCATACATTTCGTTATATCCTTCGTTCTTGTAAAGGATCGTGACATTTGCTCTTCATTGCCTGTCGTATGATCCTCTCCAATTGATAGGCCAAAAGGTAAAAGTTAATGGTGAGCTAATTGTTACCGAGTGTATCTTACTCTATCTTCCAACTTGACACTGCCAAATATAAAAAATGGAATTGACATTTTATTTCCTGAATGGAGTTGCTATCAATAAGTATTGTCCGGGCGTGTCCTACTCGATCGAATGGATCGCGCATTACGAGTTGTTCATATAATATTATATCCATTGTGATCAATTCTGTCTACCACATCACCCGTATAGAATGAGCGCATATTTATTCGAAGCTCTACATGTATAGATATTCGGCACATGGAATAGAGTGATCAATTATCAGTCCACTAAAAGTCCAAGATGGTCCCCGTATAAAAAAGTTAGGGTTGCTTATCTTTGCTTAGGCCTAGAATAATGCCCAACCAAACCTCTTGGCACGACTTTTGGAAGTGGTTGACCTACCGAGTATGAATTTCTATGTGGGTTGGCCCAAAAAGGCAAGAAATCTTTTGGGACATATATTCCAATCGAGTGGTCAACACAGTTCAAAGATAAATATCGAAACTTTGGATTTTCCTAGATGCACTAGCCTAAGCCATGAGCAGGAGGTTTCTGTCCAAAATGTTAAAACTAGCTAGTCTAACAAAATGTCAATGGATCTATTCAGGACACATCACGGTCGATTCCTGACATTCAAATCTCAAAATTGTGGCCTAAAAGTCTAATAGAATCTCAAGAATTGAACAGGCGGGCTTCATCCTAAAAACGCAGAGGTGAGCCCAGCCTAAGAGAAATTATTGACCGAGCTTAAATAGTGAGTGTTTTTTTGCGACACGCAGTCCATCTCATTCAAGAAGAATGAAACGACACAGAATGGCTAAATTTAAGATAAATAATCTCAAAAAGAATCTTTGTACTAGCTCTCCAAACTAAACTTACAATTCCTGGACGATCACACCATGTACTAATTAATCCAAAACGCACACAAAAGGAGAATCGATCAAAGACGAAGCGAAGATCTATGAATGGGGGGCTTGCGGCGGCGGGTTGCGCAGCAAAGGATGGTGAGGAAGTGATTTTCATTGCACGGGATGCACAGCTTCGAGGACTAGGTGGTGAAGTCGAAAGCCTCGGCACCTTGGTCGAGCAATAGCCGAAAGAGAGGGTGCTTGAGCAATGCGATGTTGATGACGTATCTCCTGCATTCCTCTCCCACATAGATTGCCAAGTGACCCCTTGGTATGTCTTTTGGTATGGAACATTCGTATTCACAGATGCATGCCCATAGTTTGCCACTTCCACAGATTCGCAACTTGGAGAAGAATTTCTTGAGAGACTTGGCCTTCATGATCATCATGAGAGAGAGAGAGAGAGAGATGAGATGTGGTGAGGAGAGAGTGAGGCTTATATAGGAGAGTACAGGAGTGTAGTGTATGGTATTTCAATGAAGAATAATGAGACGTTTCGATAACCTTTTGGAAGTTTCAAATATATGTGCATGATGAACTATATATGAGTGTAGGGGTGAGTGGTTCTCGGACCGGTTCCCAGTTTCTAGGATCGATGACCGGACCGGCTAGTCCTGGGACAGTGGACAAGACCGGACCGGACCATCGGTCCGATCTGATTCCAAATTGAACCAATCACTTATTCATTTATTAACCAAGGATATGAAATAATAACCTATTGAAATATGACAAAAGCGTTAATTATAGTGCTGCGGCAAAATCCAAGCTTGTTTCTTAATAGAATGTCTTAGGCAGAGCCTCAGAGGTGAGGGCGGAAGTGAATTGGGGAGAGCCTCAGTGATTAGGGTTTCTATTTTTTAATCTCAGAGCATTGGACTGTCTTTTATTTATGGGAAACAACATGGACATTTGCCGCGGAGGTAAACTAGTAAAATGCTTTCTATTTTTTTCATAAATTTTAAAAAAAGTAAATAAATATATATTTTCTGAGCAAAATAAATAAATAAATAAATTTATCGATCCAGTCCGGTCTGATCAATCCGATTCCCACCCTAAAATCGAGAACCGGACCGCCCGGAAACTAGTTCCACTTTTAGGAACCGAGAACCGAACCGATACTCCCGAGAACTGGACCAAATCGGCTGGTTTGGTCCCGGTTTGAGCGGTCCATCATGCTCACCCTTATATGAGTGTACTCGTTTTTTTTCTTTTGGTGGGTTACTTTTTCAAGTGTATTGGTTAACTGGGGACAGACGCAAGTAAGGGTCCTGAAGACAGTTGTTTGTTTATTTACATGCCTCATTACCTTTCAATTTTATCAATTAAGTCATAAACATTTTCACGTTTTGCCAATTGAATCAATCTGGTCAATTTTTATCGAAATCGTTGATGTGAACACCGGCTGTTCTACGTGGCGCAACCGACTGGACAGCCGGCGCTGACATGGAATTTTTATTTCTTTTATTTTCTTTCTTTTTTCTTTTCTTCCTTCTAAGCCCGGCGAGGGTCCCCGGCCAATGCTCGCCAGTCGCGGGCAAGGCCTTCACAGCCCTTGCTGGACTTGGTAGAAAAATAAAAAGAAAAGAAAGAAAGAAAAAAATAAAAAAAGCAGCCAACCTACGTTGCACTATCGGCATCCACGTCAGCAATTTTCGGTTAAAATTGGCCAGATAGACTCAATTGGCAAAACATAAAAAGGTTTAGGACTAAATTGATTTAATTAAAACGTTTATGACTGAATCGGTGAAAGTACAATAAATTTATGACTTTTTGGACAATTCTCCCCTAATTCTTCGTCACGATATTTTACTGTGGCTAACAATGAGAAGATTATCAATAAATCCTAACTTCATAAAAAACTTAATCATATAAACTATTAGTGCCGAGTGCTGAGTAGGAAAGAAAGTTATCGCGTTTCGTACAAAAGATACGAAAGACTTCGCTATGACTTTAGTATAATAAAAATTATACCATATGATTCTTCGAGTGCGTAAACCATAGGAGGACTGTTTAAAATTTGAAAATAGGCTTCTATAATTTCGAGAGACCTGACTTCGCTTGAGAAAAAGAAAGTTCGTCCATCAACTTCACGCGCGATAAATTGACTCGGCACTCTTTCGTTATATACAATATTTGTGCCTGTTTCACCGAAATTTCTCCCGTGACGAAATATAATTTAACGAATGTCGTTCTTTGACTTTTAATGAGAGGAGACCAGGTTCTGTGGCGACTCTAAACAGGAAATATCTAGGCAAACAAGAAATAACTTCAAACTTTTACTTCGAACTTCGAACCGGACTGTAAGTACAAGCCATGCCGGAATTTAATCGACGATAGAGCTTGAAAATACAATCACACACATACGCAAAGATATGGCATCGGAATTTAATCGATGATGCAACACCCGGGATAGAGATACACGCTGGAATTTAATTGATGACACGAATCGGAAGGAAAGCTACCGCTAAGGAAAGATAAAATGCAGTGCAGGAAAGTAAAGAAAATTGAAAGATAACATGTTGTTTGATTTGTTGGGGGGCTCTCTAGTAGATGGTCAGTGATATTTATAGTGGTTGTCTGACAACTGTTCCTTAGCGGTTTTCAACAGTTGTGCCCATGTTCTTCCATTCTGAAAATCTTGTCTTCATGTTCATGTAATGCTTCTTGCTTTCAAGATAACCGTCTCACGATCTTATTTACAAGTGATAAAACTGCCTCATGATCATGCTTCCAAGTAACTGTTTCCTCAAAATATAGATACGTGCTCCTTAGCGGTTCCCCAATGGTTGCGTTGAGTCCACTATCTTAACGGTTTATTCGACTCTATTACGTTGGCGGTTGTTTCGACTCCACTACATTAACGGTTACTTCTTCGACAGATGTATCCGAGATTGTCGACTCCACTTTTAATCGATTCCTTCAAGTTGGCTATTCTTGACTGATGTCCCTATCCTATGTCCGCATTCTGATCAGTCACAACCATCCACTTCCTCCCAAAATAGAAGACTCTACAGTACTTTTTTGAGAAAACTCAAAACATAGAAGTTATAGATCCATGAGTCTTCGTTCGTTTGGCTTTGGAATCAGGTCAATCCAATATGTATCAATAAAGCTATGGTCATTTTCCTGAACTAGCACAAAATTGAAATTTTTGCATTCTGACCAATCACGACCGTCCACTTCCTTCCAAAATAAACGACTCTACAGTACTTTTCTAAGAAAAATCAAACATAGAAGTCGTAGATCCATGAGTCTTCGTTCTTTTGGCATTGGAATCAAGTCAATCCGATATGTATCGATAAAGCTATGACCATTTTCCCGAACTAGCACAGAACTGAAATTTTCGCATTCTGATTAGTCACGACCGTCCGCTTCCCTTAAAAAATAGACAACTCTGCAGTAATTTTCTGAGAAAACTCAAAACATAAATGTTGTAGATCCATGAGTCGTCATTCTTTTGGCTTTGAAATCAGGTCAATTCGGTCTGTATCGACAAAGTTATGACCATTTTCCCGAACTGGCATAGAACAGAAATTTATGACATCAAAAAGACCACGGAACTCTGCTTTTATTGACTAATCCCATCACTTGTCGATAATAGCCAAAATTGGTCATTTTTGGGTGTAAATGGTGCTCTAACTTTTTTGGGGTCATACGTGATTGGAATTACTCTGTTTTTTTTTTGGATGTAAAAGGCGTGACTAAAGCTTGGAAAGGAAAAGAAATATACGCACGCATGAGAAATGCCTCTTCTATCTTTATGCAAGATTTGAATAATTTTGTGTCAAAATTCGGGCCAAGCTCATATAGTGTTGACCCAAGCCACGACCTTTAGGTGTGCACACCCAATAACACTTTGGGCCTTTGTATGTAAGTAGCCCATATAGTCCAATGACAATTTTATACTCTCTCGTTCATGAAAGATGCATGGTTATTTACACCAAAAAAAAAAAAGAAAAAAAAGATGCATGGTTATATTTTCTTTTACGACATTTTTTAATATTAAAAATTGGATATTTTTTCTATCCTGCAACAAAAAAACCTTCTTAAAGAGATTTCAAATCCCAAAATAATCTTCTCTTTTCGCAAGTACGTTTTATTTGTATTGTGTATTTTCCAATCGATACTTTTTGTCCATTAATTAACGATTTGAATATTTTACAATGAAGTTAATCTCACGATCGTTGATTTCATGCACCTACGCAATGCATGCGCCCCATTTGCCGGTGTGAACTATCTTGCATAGCCGATGCCGGAATCTAACCGCGTGCTTTGAAAACCTAAGCTTGCGAGAAGAAAGGTTTTCTACTAATCGTGGACACGGTATCGAGTCATGTTCGATCACGCTCGTTGATTGGTGTAGCTAGGTATACTGGGATGGTCCGGGATGAATAGATTTTATCGAGAGTTAAATTTCGGGTTAATTAACGACAAGAATTTGATCTTAATAAAGAATTAGTTTTGCTAATTTGAAGTGGACTTAAGGGCATTGCATCTTTTGCTCCGCATGGCGGATGCAAAAACCATTCCGATTGCCTTCAGAATTAGGTGTGCTCATCAATAATTGGTCAAATCGAGTTGTTGAATCCCACGCCATCTCCTGG